ATCATCTTTCAAAAAATAAGCAAGATTATCTACAGGAGGAATAAAAGAAACCAAAAAAAGTTTTTGAAGATGTTTGACGAGAAGTCAAACTCCCAACCAAATCTTTTGATTCAAAAGAAATATTAACGGATGAGATGCCCAAAGGAGAAACTAGCTTAAGCGGAGGAAAAGCAGAGTCATAATAAGACAAGAAAAAGTGAATAAGAACTAGGAAAAACTAGCCTCCTTATGGGAGAAAAAAGGAAGAAACCTCAAGAATGCTTAGGGGGTGTTTGATATCGGATTGGATTCAATTTTAATATGATTTAATAAATTCTGTAAATCTGAATTTAGTAAATCCTAGGCTGATAAATCCTGAAAAGTGTTTGGTATGATAAATGTTAAATTCTGTTAAATCCTAAGAAGATGTTTGGCAATATATTTTAGGATTTATGACAGTTAGATATTTAAATTGTATGATTATCAAAATTATTAAGTTCAAATTACTCATTAATTTTAATTACACTATTAATTATATATTTAATAATATTTTTTTAAAAATTATATTAGTTAAACTAATGATATTATATTTCATTACTAATATATCATTAATTTTTCAATTAAGTTAAATTAGATAAATATTTATGCACTAATTATACTATTAATTTTCTCAATTATTATTATTTTAACTTATATTAATTAAGTTAAGCAGTATTAACTTAAGAGGCGTGTCGGGTTTGCCTTTTTATCTTCTCTTTTTGTAGTTGTTGTTCGGCTTCGTTGCTTCGCAGGAGGTGTAGAGATTGCACACGTCGTTTCTTCGGCTCCTTCGTCCTTCGTGGCTATTCGACTTCGCTCCTTCGTCAACTTCGCTCCTTCGTCGACTTTCCCTTCCTGTTGGATCGAAAGTTACGAAATTTTGATCGGATTCAACAATGGGAGCACGTTGGCTTTGAAGGTAAATTTCTCCTTTAGCACTCTTCTCCGGCCAAATCCCGTCAATCTTGTTAAATCCGGGAATGGATGGGATTAGGATTTACCTAATTTATGCCAAAAATCTGTAAATCTCGTATTTAGGGAGTCGTCGGATTTAGATGCACGCGAGAAGGTGTTTGGCTGGATTTAGGTTAAATCCTACTTAAAACTAAAGACAAATCCGATGCCAAACACCCCCTTAGGGTTTGTCAAAAAAACCCTAGAAGAGCTCCTGTCGTTCATTCAGATCATCCGATCTCTATGCTTGATCAAAATTTTAACTCGAATTTCAACGAAGTCATTGTCAAATTGAGTGTCATGAAAGACGAACATAATGATATCAAAAGATTTTTAATCTAAGTTCAAAGTTGGCCCAAATTAATCACTTGAAGCATACGCTTCATTTGGGACTACTTTTTTACTGTTTTCTAAAATAGCTTTCTAGCAAAAAAATTTCTTGAGCTAGAAATTTTTGTAATAAAAAATTTCCTTAGAAAGCATTAAGAAAGCCGCCCCAAACGAAGCCATAGTTGAAATTTTTGTGATATTAGTGTATGGGATAAACAAATTTCAAATCTTATGTGCTTGTAGTCAAAATGATAAATTCGACAAAAGAATTTCAATGAACAAAAGTTCTCTCAATCCATACTCATCAAATCACTTAAATGCTGAAGGAATTAATAGGATGTTCTTTAGTATTTAAGTGATTTGATGACCTTGGATTGAGGGAACTTATGTTCATTTGTTTTTTGTTGAGATTATTAGTAGTACAGTAATACACTTGCGAAAATTAAAAAATTCAAAGATTTTTTGTGGTGATTATGCATTTGTAATTCTTATTATATTGTATTATTACATTGCATCTTAACTATACTAATCATCATCACCATTAGTTTACATTATGTGAGTCGATTGTCTAACAAAAATATGTCTAATCAATGTGAGAAAGCAGCTAATTTAGGTTTTGTTTGGGACGGCTTTCATACTGCTTCTTCAACCAGTTTTCTAGTTTAAAAATTTTAATTTTTAAACTAGAAAGCTATTTTAAGAAGCAGTAAAAAAATTGTCCTAAACGAACCCTTAATTATATATATGTCAATTATCTCTTGGGTAATTGTGAGCACAAAAAAAAAAAAAAAAAAAAAAAAAAAAAAAAAACATTTTGCAAGTCCTCATCTAGAAAAAAATAAGTTGTTGAATTGGGCATGTCACACAAAAATAAAGAAATATAATGAACATAATTAATTCCATCTTAGGCTAAGCAATCACCAAATCACCCAACCTTGGAAAATTCTCGTTTTATTTTGTGATCTCACTCATGTCGAGTGTTTTTAAAATCTGAGCGGATTAGCCGGTTCGACCATGAAGTGGTCCAGTTCCCGATCTAGTAAGGTTTTAGTTCCATATATGGTCAAATCAGAAAATTAGATTTGCATTGAATTGGTGCGAGCTAATTTACCAGTTGAAACGGGTGATTAATAAATATTTTTTTTTTATTTAATTTGAATATAAAACTACTAACATGCCACTTCATCCAACTTTATTTGTTGCTTAAGATTTGTGCTTTACACTATATAAAGAGTATTCTTTAAACTTTTCCTATGATGTGAGACTAAAAACCTGTGAGAATTTTTCTTGAGTTAAACTATCAAATTGCTTGGGATGTAAATTTGGGGTTGAGAATGCTTATAACTTATTAAAATTAGTAACATAAGTTTTTGTTTATTATAAAATTTATATATTATATTATATTTGGATTAAAATTATATTTTTATTTATATGTTTATATTATTATTATTAGTATTTAATTTTAAGACTTATTTATTATGCATTTAATATATTTGTAATATACATATACTTAGATTCCCATTAATATTCAATCGAGCTTCTTAATAAGCTTTGTGTTAAGCTTTAAACTTCATTTTGGACGGCTTTCTTACTGCTTCTTAAACTATTTTTCTAGCACATAAATTTTAATTTTGTACTAAACAACTGTTTTAAGAAGCAATAAAAATGCCGTCCCAAACGAAGCCTTAATTGAGCTTGTTCATGAGCTTTAATCAAAATAGTTACGTATTCTCTGTTAAATTTTATTTATTATGTAATTTATATTATATTTAAATAATTTTAGTATTTATTACGTCATCCAATTTAACCCCGATTGAATCATCAAATCGTGAGCCTCTCCTTCTTCCATTTCGTTGTCTGATCCGATTTTCACAACCTTACTTGTGTCAACACTTTGGAGTTACATAAGATGAATCAACATTAAGTACAGGGGTGTCAATTCGGGTCAACCCGCCGGGTTCGGGTCGAACCCGACCCGACCCGAATCTAAACGGGTCAACCCGAACCCGACCCGTTTTTACAAACGGGTAAAAAATTGTCCCAAAGAAAACTTTAATCTCCTTATCATTCTCTTTCATTTACATCCCTAAATCAACAATTACATCAAATAAATCTCTTCTATTATATTCTCTATACTCGTATCTCCAAATATTTGAATATGATAAAATCACTTGCACTTCAACAATGATAGAAATGCCTGAATTTTTTCTCTATTTTTTTATTTAGTAAACTCATTCCTATTTTATTTATTTCTAACATCTATCTAAAATGTTTTAAATTTGAAACTTACAATATTATTCTTTAAAAAATAATTTTCTAAAATTCAACAAACCAAATAAAAATCATTTGATAAGCATGTCCTTGTTGAAAAGATAATAATCATAATATGAACACCCTTTCTACTATTTAAAAATCTGCCATCCATTCCTTGACAGCTGGCCCCTTGTTTTAACGGTCATCATCAGGGCCCATATAGGTTGAGCCAATCAATTAAGTACCTAATGCTATATGCTTACAATAAGCAAATAAATTACCATTATATCAAAACAGATTCCTTCAATTTTGTCTTGGAAACTTAACTGGCTGTAAATTCTAAACTTTGCATAAAAATTAAAAAATATATATTGATTAATAATAGATGAATATAATTTTAGGAATGATTTTTTTTTATTTTAACATTAAATAAAATATATTATTTAGTTATATAGCGAAGATGATTATAATGATGGTTGTTGATTGCAGACTTGGGACTTTACATGAGTAGTATTATTTAAAAAAAAAAACAAAAAATAAAAAATAAGTGGGCTCTTATTTGATATTTGTGAGCTCTTATTTGATATTTGTGAGTTACATAAGCAATTTTATGGACAAAATGTAAAGTATTTTTGGTGATATATTCTTAGTTTTTATTTTATTTTATATAAAAGAAAAAAGACAAAAAATGGATGAGAATATTAATATAAAATTTTTTAACTCATTCAACTTATTTTAAAATTTAACGAATTATTTATATATTATAATTAACTTAAAATAAATCAAATTTTGATTTTTTTTAAACAAAATTTATGATTAATTTGGGATGACTTTTGGCCAATATATTTTCACTATTTTGAAGAAAAAATTATACTAAATTATTATTTTAAAAAATAGTAAGATAACTATCACAAAATGAAGTTTTAGATTTCGTTTGGGACTGGTTTCTTTATGCTTCTTTAAGTAGTTTTCTAGTAAAAAAATTTAATTTTTTGTATTAAAAGTTGTTTTAATATGCGGCAAGAAAATTGTCTCAAACGAAATATTATACTTCATTCGAAACAACTTTCTTAAACAGCTTTTTAGCCCAAAATAAATTTGAATTTGAAAATTTTATACTAAAAATTTGTTTTTTAAAAACTATAAAAAAGACCGTCTCAACAAAGTTTTAAATCTAGGCATCAACTTTGGGTTACTTTAATTTGGTGAAAATTAAAAAAAAAAGATTCCACATGATTTTGATACAATTGGCATGAAAATAAAAAAAATTAAAAAAAAAAATGAATGAAGCACTTAGCATTTCAAAAGGAAATTAAAAAAAAAATGAAATTTTTATTTCATACAAAAATTTTTACTTCTAACGGCCAGAATCCAGAGCAGCATTGAAGAGCAGTAGAGGGTCTTTTTGTCAATTCAATAATTCTTTAATCTTTTTTTACTCCGATCCGGTGTTCGCTTGCGACGAACTTGCTTTTATTCTCTCGCTTCTTCGAAGGGTTCCACATCATCTCCTCTACTCTCTTCTCTCTCTCTGCGAGTATTGTCCTCCGATAAACGCGATTTCTCTCTACAGATCGAAGCGAGAACTGCTTGTTTATGTGAGCTTCTTGAATGGATCGGAAATGTTCTTTGTTCACTTATTTTATCTTTTATATATTGATGCACATTTGATCAATCTAAGTATTAGGTCTTTTAAAATTTCTCCTCTTTCTAGGGTTTTTGGTCATGGTTGGGTAACTGTCTTGATCCCTTTTCTTTTGCGTTCTTTTAGGGCTAATATTTGTGAATCTATCGGTTTCTTTATGTGAGGTCGTAAGTGATGTATTTTCTATGGGTTTTCTTTCTAGCATACTCAAATATTAAATCCTCTTAGCTCTTTGTTATGATTTTCTTCTTCTTTGCCATCTCAACGGTTATTTCTTTTTTGAATTTTTTTTTCAGTTTCCTTTTAGAACTTCAGGTTGCCTTTGACTAGAAACTTTCTTTTTTAGGCGTCCTTTGCATCTGAATAATTACGACTAGGTGAATTTTACTGTATAACAAAATAGGTTCTTTCTTTAGTGCAAATATTTCATTTTTAGTGGATTGTCTTACTGAAAATTGCTTTTTGTGTTTTATTTGATACTGTTTGGGAAGATCTCGTGATGCAACCTGTGCGTGTAGCTTGATTTGATATTTGTTTCTATCTTTATACTTTGGTGGTGTTGAGCACTGATCTGGATTTAAAATTTATATGCATAATTGGATGAATACCTCGGTTTTTAGTGACATCTGAAGAGATTTGTGTGCTTGCTTCTTCTTACGGAACTGTTAATGGTTGTAGCCATATGATATGATTTGTGATTTGATCATGTATATTTAAAATTTTACAAGGTCTAAATTCCTACTTACAGTTTTGGATTTGTTCAAGTCTATTTGTTGGTGATATTGTTATTTTAGTACTTGGTAATGGCTCCACTTTAAACATAAAGTAGGTAAAAATTATTCTAGTTTCTTATGAATTTTTTGTGTTTGCATTTTTAGCTTTTTCCCTCGCATGATCTGTGGTGATTTTGATTCCTTCTCCTTATTTTTCCTGGTCCCTTGTTTCTCTTTTTATTCCTTTGCTTTTTTGTTTGTCTGTCTCTTTCTTCTTCCATTTTTTCCTCCGTGGTTGTGGATAGATGACTGGTTGGAGTCTGTAAAGATTCTAACGACTAAATTTTATTAATTGTTAAATAATGATGGAAGAAGTAAAAATAAGAAGAAAAAAAAGCAACAATAACAGTAGAAAAGTTATCTGACTTTTGTTTGTTTGTTCCTTTTCTTTGTTCACCCTTTTTTTCCCGTAACTGTGGATAGATGATTGGTTGGAGTGTATGAAGATTCCAATGATTGAATAGCATTAATAGATTAATAATGATCGCATAAATAAAAATAGGTGGGACTAAAAATGCTTCATGCTAGGCTGGCAGGTGTTTCTTTCAATGATGAATTCTTTTGATTGTTTGTTGACGGTTTGATATGAGAGTGCTGGAAACAACATTAGAAAGGGCCTTGTTGCCTCCTTATCACATCTATATTTTTTGCATATGATATTATTGTATTTTAATTTTTGGTTTTTTTTATAATTCGCATTCCCTGGATTGTTGAATGATTTTTGTACACCTTTTACTGTCCAATGCCACACACGGACGCACTCTTTTAATAATGATGTGTAAAGCATATAGAGTGTTTCATTTGTGAATTTTGTTAGTTGTAATGTCCACATCAATGGATTGAATAGTGTTGTTCTTGATCTTTTGTTCAAAATGCAGTTGTTCCTGTTATGATATCATTTTCTATGGATTATGCGTGTAGATCTACATCTAGATTAGGGCCTCGTTTGTTTGCGCATTTTTTTGCCTTTTCCGTTTAGAAATTGCGGAATATTTTTTTTAGTGTTGTTTGTTTGTGACACTTTGCGGACATGCTCTTTAGGGAACTATATTTTTGTACTGTTTTCAAAAGCTTTAGGGTATTTACTTCTTCGTTTGAAAATTATGTTTTCTCAAACAATAGTTTTAAAACTATCTTTAGGGAAGGTGAAGGATAACCAAACAAAGCCTAGGTGTATAACAGGTGTGTAACTGTTTATTAGATACTACATGTAGATTAGGTTTATACATGTCTGTATTAGGTTTGTACAGGTGTTATGTGCAGGTAGTGTATACTGTATAGGGGTGTACACATCTATACTCACTTGTATGCACCTCATCCACACCTTAAAATCTACATGTTATCAAATCAAATAATTTTTACAATTCTATAGGTTGTATGAAGGTCAGGTTGAGAGTGGCGGCAAATCAAGGCCATTCTACTATATAGTTATATTCTTATGCTCTTTTTCTTCAGACAGAAAAGACAAGAGGCTATTATAATCCTCTTAGTGAAAGTGGATAAGTCATCTTTTGTTTTTTCTTTTACATTTAGGGTTTGATATAAAGTATCTAAATTGTTATGAAATATCCTTCCGAAAAAGCTTCAATTCACATTTTCCTACTTCCTAGTTTTGCAGGATTTATTGCTATTCATGTCTCTAGAATTCCTGGAGACAGCAATCATTATCTCATTTGAGTTATAGAATGGAAGCCGTAGAATTTTAATATTTTTTAATTATTTTTCAGGACTAATGAAGATAGCGGAGTCCATAGTTCTTTATTTTGTTGAGACGTTTTATGATTGCCATTGTTGGTATAAGTTGACTGAAAAAAGAATTTACTCTTTTATTCTCATTATATAATTTTGAGGATCTAATAGTCATTTTTTTGTACTTCCTAGAATGGATTGACATGAAAATAAATAATCAAAATGTTTTTGTTTGCCTCAAACGTTTGGGTGGTTTTCCTATTGTTGTGGCTACCCTTGTATGATAAAATGGCTTGATGTTGTTGTTCTTGTATAGATTCCTCAACTTTGTATTTGATTAATATTTTTTTTCTTCATTTCTTCCTACATTCATGTGGCTTACTTTAATCATGGATCTCGTTCTTACTCTTCTTTTTGAAATGTCTGTTCATCTGACCGTTGCTTATTATATGTTATTCAGGTGATCCTAATTGGAGATTGGCCGTGGGAGATTGACAACCCAACTTGCTACAAATTTAGAGAGCCAATTTCCATTGAAAGAAAACCTGATTTAGATCTTTTTCTTCCTAGAACTCTTCTGGAGTGCCATGGTAATTAATAAAAAAATAATGATAACTTATGCTGTTGGTGAACGCTAAGGTTTTATTTGATCCCATATTAGGTGGGTTAGTTGGTGAGAGTTGCCAAGCCTTGTATACAACCCCATTTTTTATGTGCCCCGATGGGGCCAAATACTGCCTACACTCTGCCAACAGCTTCCGTTTTCTATGAATAAAAAACAATTTCAAGCATTTGCAATGAAATTTCCCCATTATTTTTTTGCCATTTCTTGCCGTAGTAATCTAACTCAGACTTATTCTAAGATTTGTCAAATTTTCAGGCAACGAACAAAAACTTTCTACCTAATGTCATCAAACAACTTTCTAAGGAACTAAAGAATCTCAATGATTCTCCACCTGAAGGCATTACTGTGGTTGTGAATGATGATGATTTCTCTTCCATATTTGCTGATATAAAGGGACCTGGTCAGTGAAACATTAAAGTAAACGGTGATTGTTTTTTATATCAAGCAAAAGATGGAAATCTCATCTTTTAACATTTAAATGTTGCAGCTGGCACTCCTTATGAGAATGGGATATTCCGCATGAAGCTTCTATTATCTAATGACTTCCCTCAATCCCCTCCCAAAGGTTTGGTTTGGTTTACTCTCCTGAATGAAATGGTTATTTGTATTGTCATGGAGTTAACTCTTAATTATACAATCTATTCTTCGCAGGCTACTTTGTAACAAAGATCTTCCATCCAAACATTGCCACAAATGGTGAGATTTGCGTCAATACTCTGAAGAAGGATTGGAATCCAAGCCTTGGATTGCGTCATGTCTTCACTGTAAGATCATTCTATTCCGGTTTCTTTCTACTCCAGGCTACTTGAATGTGCTCATTAGGCCTTCTCCAACCGACCTCCAAACGCATGAATGATGTCACTTGCGAGCTCCAACCAACAACAAAACTTTCGGTATTTGGTTGCGGGTGACAGTGCAACGCTATATTAGCATCGCACTGTTCACCTGCATTATTTTTCTGTCTCTTCTGGATTTGCCGAAGAAACGTGCGAAAGAGGAGAAAGACGGTTACCTTCTGCGAAGAGCGCAAAATGGAGTTGGATTGGAGATGAATCACGCCATTGTTTAGTTTCACTACATTTTAGAGTGAAAAATGGGATTTTCGGTTGGAGATGCCCTTGCCCCTACGTTTCAACGAACGTTAAGGCTTTGTTTGAGACGGCTTTCTTACTACTTAAAGCAGCTTTTTAGTTCTAAAAAGCTAGTTAAAAGAAAGTCTTCCCAAAAGCCTATATCTTAAACACTGCTCAAATGATTTGCCATATAGGGAGTTGCTTCTATATGAAATAAAGCAAAACTTTTAACTGTTTCTGACTGCTAAATGTGTCAATTTTCGATGACAGGTAATCAGATGCTTGTTAATAGAACCATTCCCTGAATCTGCACTGAATGAACAGGCTGGTAAGATGCTCCTTGAGGACTATGATGAGTATGCCAGGCATGCCAGGTATAGATTTCTTCTCCAAACTTTCGACTTTTTGATAATAATAGAGAGGAAGTAAAGTAAACAAACTGATCTTTTGAAGTTCACAGATTATACACTGGCATTCACGCCCTTAAGGCCAAACCAAAACCAAAGACAGGAGCGATATGCGAGTCCACAAGTGCTCTCAATGTTGATCAAACAAACACAGTTCATGTTGATAAAGTGCCATTTCCATCATCCACACCTCTTACTCATGCACCCATACCCTCCAAAATATTAGGAATGGCTTCGCAGGACCAAAATGTGATTCCTGCGCCATCAGCAAAGGTTGTTGAAGCTCCAGTAGCAGCTCAGAAGAAGGAAGCAGTAGCAGCAGCAACAATGGCAAAAGCTGATAAGAAGAAGATCGATGCCCGGAAGAAGAGTCTTAAGAGACTGTAGAGTGGGGCGAGGGCAAGATCTAGGCGCTTAGACCAAAGAAAGGGATCTTTAGAATGATTATGTTAGTTGTTGTAGCCTCTTAGTTTCTTTTCCGCCATGGATGAAATGTGATGCTATTTTCTTATTATTTCTTCTCTGGATGTTCCTTCTACATAAGATCATTGCATGCGGTCTGAGGAGGAATTGGAAAACTTTTTAAAATTTCTGCAAATTTTCTTTTTATTAAATTGTCTGGTTAAGGTTACACCTTTTTTGCATTAAAAGAATTCCATTAATAAAATAAAATTACTGATAAATCTTTGGGTATTAAATTTTTTTTTTCCTAGCAATTCTCTGTTGGTTATTATTCTTATTTAATCTTAATATCATAATAATATAATATTCAAATATTAAACTAAAATTGGTCAGTCTTTTAATTTTAAAATTATTGATAGGGATGCTTGAGCCCTAAGTTTAGATTTAATTTGGGATAACTTTCATATTTTATTTGAACTTTTTTTATTTTAGAATGGGAAATCTATTTGTTATTATTTCAAAGGGAGTAATTGACGGCATAATTAATCGATCAGTGGAATCTAGCGAGGCTATCTATCGGCATCGAGCTAACAATTGTTTTGCCCCATTGAAGAGACATGATGTTTTGCCCCACTGAAGAGACATGATGTATCAGGGGGGATTTGAACCCGGGAGTGGGGTTTTCAAATGTGCTCTTCCATCAACCAATCTAAACCTCGGTGAGTAAAAAAAATTATTTTATATATATATAATGCAAATTGTTTGTCAGTGCTACCCTGATTGCTATTTTCGCCTGCCCCTATCACTCGTCATAGCTCACCGCAACCAACTGCCATTGCCACTCTTGCTACCCCTTATACCCGGCTATCGACTGTGCCAACTAGCCTATTGCCACTACTCTTGCGGCTATCCTTTGCTTTCACCACCACCAACCACTAAACATCACTGAAGTTTATATTGCATTCATTTTATTTCAAGCAAAAAAATAGCTATATTTATTTTGCACTTTTCCACTAAACTCTACAATATTTCAAATAGATTAATTTCTTTTATATTGCATATTTGTATTTCATTTACTTGCATTTCTTCTTCTAGCTAATCAAACCCCGCATAATTTTAAATGAATTGGGGTATGTTTTAGAATATTTGAATATTTTGATTAAAAAAATATAAATAAAAGTAGAAGTTTAAGTGGTGTTGTGACATTTGGTGGTCCTGATATTTTCATGATATTAATTAAAGATCATATTGTCTCGATCTATATTTTATTCATTTTTTTTAATTTTTTGAGCGTTTCTTAAGATTTATATTACATAAAGTCCAACAAAATAGGGTATTCGCATATAATGTCATTTGTCATTGATTGTATTATATTTCACTCATTTTGTATGAGAAACTAAAATTATTATATTTAAGATGTTTATGCTTAAAATTATATGTACAATGAGATTTAGAATATGTTTGAGAAGGTTGCAACATTTTATAGAAACAATTGATTGTGAAGTTACTATAGGAAAGTAAATGATCTATTATGGTTGCAACAATAGCTTTACTTTATAATTGTTTTTATAAATAGTAAGAAAGCTGCAAAAAAGTAATAGTGAAATAAAAAAATGTAGTTGGATTGGACTTTTCTAGAGCCTCTCTTCTTGGTTTCATTTCAATGTTTCACACTTGCTCCTTCCATCCGGTTAGCATTCAAGTCACTTTTCCAGGCTGTTCGTCTAAGCCAAAGACAATTATAGATGAAAATTATAGTTATTATCTTAAAAAAAAAAATAATGAGAAAGTTGTCCCAACATGATTCTAGAATTCAAAGGACTCCCTAAACATGTATAAACATCATAGGATCCACATTGACTGACAATACAGGGTCTTTATTGAATAGCTTTCTAGCAGCTTTGTTATAATTTCGTTTGACTGTTGCTTTCTTATTATTTTCCAAAAAAATAAAATAAAATTTGTGCTAAAATTTTACTTTTTACAATTGCTTTCAAAAAGAATACATCTTCCTCAGAATACCTTTACAATCACCTTTATAAAAAGTTGCAGACATCCTAAACAAACATAAACTATAACTGATGGTTGTGATTTCTTATTTGAGATCTTGGTGTTCAAGTGATTTAATAAAAATTAAATTATTTTTAGTATTTTTAGAATATGTTAATATTTATCTTAAATCTATTAGGATTTTTAATTTGTTTAAATTTAAATTACAATGAATTATCATTATGGCTGATTTTAGGCTTGACTTTGAATATTTTAAATTATTTGATCATATTTTTAAGAATACATAAAAGAAAAGGCCAAAAAGGGCTGATTTAATATCATTTTGAGTGATACCTAGTTTAAAATGGTTCAAAGCCATTACAATTCTAAAATTAAAATAGCAAGTTTCTTATAAGAAGGTCTTCTTTATGCTTAAGATTTGAATTGCTTTAATCACATTCATATAACTATATGTCCCCCATTTTAAGAGCTCATTCATACACTTTACCATATTTTAAACCCATCAACATAGAAAATGATTTTTTAATGTACGCAATTGTGTACAAGCTAATTGTTGCTCATAACTATTGTTCACACAACTCTCCTTGGTCTGTTGGTTGGGATCTTTGGCTACCAACTAAGAGGTTTTGGATTCAAATTGTGCGTATGCTGTCACGACTCAACCCGACCGGGACGGATCCCATCGCGTTGAGTCGCGACGGATAACCCCATGGATCTAGTTTTGAAATTTATTTTCAGACTTTCTTTCGATACATATTATAAACTGAATCACAGAGCTACTAAAAAAACTTTCCAATACAGAAGAACTCATCCACTAAAATATATTTCTTTCATTCATCAAAATAATCATATATATTACAGTATATGGCTTCTGATAGAAAGTACAGAGCAGAACAGAAAAATAGCCATGACTATACAAAAATCAAAAGTACAAAATACCTATGACTTCAAATCAGATCCTGAACGGCTAGTCCAAAACTTCATTCCCTTTCTCAGAACCTGAAAATCATGAAGATAATCACAGTGAGCTACCAGCTCAGCAAGATCACACTACCCGATCTAAATTCCCAGATTAATTCATTCCAATATACATCACAAAAGCTTTAAAAATAGTTTATTCAAACAGCTGTACAGAATTCAGATAATCATATAGAAATTATATAATCAGACATAATGCAGATATTTATACATAATGAAAATCAAACAGATTTCAGATATTCATACAGAACAAATAATCAGATGGAAATCAGATAACAGATACATAAGAACTGAATAAAATTCGTATCATATAAATCACATTTCAGATCAGATTTCAAATCACATTTCCCTGACCCAGACAGAATCTCAAAGAATTCTTCCCCCTTATGCCTCCCTTCCATGTCACAGATAAATCTCAAAGGATTTTGACCCCTTATGCCTCCCTTTGTGCTTACAGCACAATAACATATCAGATATACAAAGTTATAAAATCAGAATTCATTTTCATATTCTCGTACGCAGACATAATCTCAAAGAATTCTGGCCCCTTATGCGTCCCTTCTCTAACACAGACATAATCTCAAAAAATTCTGGCCCCTTATAACTCCCTTCTGATATCATTCAAATCAAATCATATCAGATTCAAAGAAATCAGATATATATCAAAATGTCGTCAGAATGTATGATGGCAGACAACAGAAAATTCAATGGATCAAAATTCACAGTTTCAAAAATTTATCAAATTATCAGAAATCGAGTAAAACATCATTTTAAAGCTTTTATTATACTGAAGCAATATTTTTTAACATCCGGATAATTTTCTATTCGATAAAAACTCCACAGAATTCAAAATACTAGGTGCAAAATTTTCAGAAAATACTCAAAACGTGCAAAATCATAATTTCTACAACATATCAAAAGTTACGCGATAAAAATTTTTACTGGTGCAAAGTTATACCCGTTTTTCGCTAACGAAAACAAAATTTTAATCATAAAATCCATCGTAAGCAAATATAACAGCATCCAATTCTTCAAAGCAAAAATTTTACCGGTGCAAAGTTACTCACACCTGATGCCAAATCTTCAAAGCAAATATAACAGCATCCAATTCTAAATCATGCGTCAGGTTATTCTTTTAATGTGGTTTCAATTGTCTCGAAGCATAGACTATTACCCGACCATGCTGCATTAGAACACATTCCAAACCTTTCAGTGAAGTGTCACTGATATTTGAAATCCTTCTGTACCATAGGGAAGTGCCAAGACTGGAGTATAAGTCAAACAATCCTTCAATTTATGAAAACTAACTTCACACTCTGGTATCCAAATAAATGCCACTGACTTCTAAGTCAGTCTCGTCAAAGGTGTAGAAATATGAAAAAATGAATTCACAAACTTTCTATAATATCCAGCCATACCCAAGAAATTATGTATATCAAATATCGTAGTAGGTCTTGGCTAATTTGCAACTACTTAAATTTTCTAAGGATCAATAGAAATAACTTCATCGCTCACTACATGTCCCAGAAATGAAATGCTCTTCAGCCAGAATTCAAACTTAGAGAATTTTGCATACAACTGATGCTGCCTCAGAGTCTCCAATACACTTCTCAAATGTCTTGTATGATCTTCCTCTGAAGCAGAATATATCAGAATATCATTTATGAAAACGATCACAAACTGATCCAAATAGTCTTTGAATACTCTATTCATCAGATCCATAAAAATAGCTAGTGCATTAGTCACCCCAAAAGGCATGAACAAAAACTCGTAGTGTCCGTACCGAGTACCGAAAGCTATTTTCATCACATCTGCTTCTCTTACCTTCACCTGATAATAACCAGATCTCAAATCAATATTTGAGAATACAGAAGATCCAGCAAGCTGATCAAATAGATCATTAATCTGTGGCAATAGATACTTATTCTTAATTGTGACTTTGTTCAAATCTCTTTTGTCCACACACATACGCATTATACCGCCCTTTTTCTTTATAAATAGAACAGGTGCTCCCCAAGGAGAAACACTCGGACGAATAAATTCTCTATCCACCAACTCCTGGAGTTCAACTTTCAACTCCGCAAGCTCCTTGGGTACCATTCTATACGTAGCTTTTGATATAGGGGTTGTACCTTAAAATACATCAATACAAAACTTAATATCTCTATCCGGAGGTAAACCAACCAACTCCTCAGGAAATACATTTAAAAAATCTCGAATAATCGGGATATCAGAAATAGA